CCTTTAATCATTGTTAGACATAGATGTTTCTATTCAATAAATTAGTAATAATCGTCGGCATCATTTACTATAAATTAAAAAGGTTCATCTCTACTCATTGCCTGATTAATCAATATAATACTATCGAGGGATTGATATTTTATGAAACTAAATTAGGGAACCTCGAATTTTCAACATGGCGTTAAGACTCCAAAACATCATCCAACTTTATGTGCTTCCCTTTAACCACCTTTATAGTTCTGGAATATTGTCTTATCCAATTATCTACCAGCTAAAACCATTATTAAGGGATAAAAGCACGTCTTTACATCTTGCCTGATGCGTGTTATTTTCTATCATTCTGACTTACTGTTTACTCACATTTAAATTCATTACTTTTGTATCCATCAAATTCAAATCGATTTGTCAAGTGGATGCGATAACTGTTCATGGAAGCATCATTCTTTCTTTTAAAAAATAACTTAGCAAATTTAATCAATTTAAAATCAGAAAGTAAGTGTATTTTCATATGAATTTATTCATTTTTAGCAAATTTTAAAAGGGCGAACTCTATAAATCTTGAAACGTTTTGCAAATGTATTTAAAAAACAAGTAATTTGTTTAAATTCGTTTACGAGTTCCTTATCCCTAACCTTTTATTTAATATATAATTTTTAACTAATATTATTTATTAGTTTGTAGCCTTAGGTCTATTAGTGTAAAAAACTTTAAATTAGTATTGATTAAAAATTGAAGTACTAAAAAAATATTGAATTAATGTCAAAATTTGTAGTGTGCCGACATTTTCTTAGAGGTCGAATTTTTTTATTAAATTCACATTTTTCTATTCAAAACAATAAATAAAAAATACAACTTAAACAGTTTTGCAAAATTTTTATAATTATATAAGTTATTGTTACAAACATTTTTTTGCATTAATTTACAAAAAGTTGTTTTCCTATTAATCTATTTAATAAAACATTCTAATGTGGTATACTTCTTCAGAAGTAAAGCTGCTTTCGATATATCAATTATTTGAAAAAGTTAATTAATTTTTTAAAAATATAAACAATTTAATTAAACAAATAAAAATAATATTAATTTTTCAATCAATTATTCAGTTCTTTTTTGTTGCATATTACTCTTAATTTAATCTAGAATCATTTGAAAAAGAAAAACTTGGTAACTTATATTCGGTTAATTATTTTATTCGATCCTGCAGCAAAATTATCCATACTTTTCGACACAATGTATGACAATGATAAAAAACGGTTATGGCAAGTTTCGATCTTCGTTTATTTAAACATTTCAAACGGCTCCGTTGCGATCGTTCACGCAAAATATTTTGCTGCAAGATCGGATAAAATCTTTAATTACTATTTACCGTATATAAGTTACCAAATTTTTCTTTTGCAAAAGATTCTAGATTAAATTACGAGTAATATGCAACAAAAAAGAACTGAAAAATCGATTGAGAAATTAATATTATTTTTATTTGTTTAATTAAATTATTTATATTTTTAAAAAATTAATTAACTTTTTCAAATAATTAATATCAATCGAAAGCAGCTTTACTTTTAAATAAATATACCAAAAATCAGAAAGTTTTATTACTTAGATTAGAAGGAAAACAACTTTTTGTAAATTCATGCAAAAAAATGTTTGTAACAATAACTTGTATAAATATAAAAATTTCACAAAACTGTTTAAGTTATTATTTTGATTTATTGTTTTGAATAGAAAAATGTGAATTTAATAAAAAAATTTCGACCTCTAAGAAAATGTCGGCACACTTCACAAATTTTGACTCATATATACAGTTAGTATTTTTTTCAAATATAAGTTTTAAGTTTAGTATAAATAATACAATGGCATACTTACAAAAAAAGGATCAATCGAAGCATCAATATTCGCGTAAACATATTCGTTATAAACCGCACTCTAATTGTAAGTTAAATTAATTTAAAGTTAAAATAAAATTTTGCAAAAATATTTAACAGCATGAAATTATGTTCATATGTCTATCAAACCCCAAAGATAAGTGAAAAATAGGAGACAAATGTTTTATAAGTGTCTCTCGTCACTTTCACTTATATATTTCAAAAGTTCGTTAACATTGAAACTATTGATATATAAATATAAAAATGGAACAAAATTTCAGAAAAGAAAATTAGTAATTTAAAAAAATAAAAATCCAGTTTTTAATTGTAATTCTGAAATAAATATTACAAATAAACAATTAATATTATTAAAAAAAAATGTAATTAAATTAAAAAGGAAGGCAGGATAAGGATTGCTATTACTTTAGATGTATTGTATAAAATTCCGTTCAATGAATAAAAACTGAGAAGTCAACTACCAAAGTCAATTTGGATAAAATTCTGCTGATTGTTATTACTCAGAAATATATAATAAACAATTTTTTTTAATGAAAAAGAAGTTTTAAAAAAATACGTTTTTAATTTTCTAAAAGTGACTTTATATTTGCATTTAATGACTTAAAAGATTATAATTTTATTTACACTGCATGCTGAAACCTCACTCTTTTAAATTCATTCATTTATTTCTCATATTGCTTTCTATCATGTAGAATTCATCTCACTTCCCCCTCTTTATATTTTTCTTCATTCATTCCTTACATATTAAATTTGTCTGCAGTTTTTTTCCTCATACCCATACACACTAATTATTTTCCTTCTCACTGAACCAATCCTCCCATTCCTTTACCTATTATAAATCTTATGTACTCTACTCCACTTTCCCAACTTCCTCGAGATCTTCTCCCTCTTTAAAATCATGTACTATCTATTATACCTCGACTCCACTATCCCTTTCTACCTTTCATCTCTATCATTCCAACTCCATCCCTTTATAAAATCGTTTTCCCTTTCTTTCATTCTGTTCCATCCTGCAATGGTTTCTATCTTCTTTAATCACATTTCAACTTCTTCTTCGCTTCTTTCTTTCCATCCTGATTAACTTTCAACATTCTTGCGCAAGTCTACTCTGATCTTGTAATATAATTTCTCCTGCAAACACGTCGCTCTTCCATCCCTTTGCCTAAATACAAATTCTCTCAGTAACTCCTGTCTTAATATAGACCCTAAACAATACTCATTTTCTAGTTATCTTTAAATCGTCTATTTTCTATTCGTCACACTTGTCCTTGGATATCATATTTTCTTTCCGTGATATCCCACGGGACGAAAAATTTGGATATTCCTGGATGCCCCACGTGGTATTAATGACCGCGCATGAGTAGGAAACAAACAGGTGATTGTGTTTTAAGATGTCAGACAACGCCTTCAATTGTTGACGTATGTCAGCAAACACGTTGTTTATTTTCTTTAATTTTGAGTGATTTTCAGTCGAATTAACGTTATTTTTTATTATGTTTTGGTTTTTGTAATAAATATCATAAAATCAGTACCCGATAAAATGGCTTGAATTGAAAAGAATAAAAAATACTTGATTTTCGATAAAACTTTGAATTTATTAATACTACTTAATTCGGAAAATTTCCTCTTTTTTCAATACTCTCAAAATGGATATAATTTAGAAAAATTAAAATCATTTCTATTCCAAATGCAACTTGTATTCCATTAATCGAATATACTTTGTAAATTCTTAACTCCAAAAATATTTGTAAATTATGAATTCCGTTAAAGAGAAAACATTCATGATATTTTTTAATCCCAAGTAATTCCTTCCGAAATGGGCGACGTTAAAATTAAGTGAAATGTTTCTATTCCAAAAATGCAATTGGTTTAATATCTCTTTAATTCTTTTCAATGCCATACGGTAAAAAAAACTCTGCTTTCCTGCATTATCGACATATGATAATCAAATTTAAATTCTGTTTATGGAATTCATTTCGATTTTTTTTCAATCCCATTTAATTCTTTTTCTGTTTAATTTCAAGAGTTTCTTATTGTAAATATACTTTTAAGTTTACGTGACTGATTCGACACCTTGACAGACTTGTAGCGAGAATGCCTGTGTTCGATTCCTATTTGTGTCATTTCTTTTCGAATAGAATTAAAAGAAATAGAAATTCACATATTTCTTTCCTATACGTGGAATTAAAAAAGAGGGAATTTTCCGAATTAAATGGAATTAATATTTTTAATTCTACTAAATTCCAGCCTTTTTACCGTATATATTTATATGTAAAAATTTTATTTAAGAAAATAATATCCCGCGTGGGAACTCCCACGGGCTGGAAATTTTGATATCTTTGGGAAGTCTTTGATATCCTAAAGATGTCCCTGGGATATCCTTTTGTTGTGAGGGAATTAATTGAAAATATAATAAAATATCTTTTGATAAAATAAAAGTCAGAAGCATACAATAATAAAATTTTTTTTATGAGATTGTGTATGACGTAATTTTTACTATCAAGTTGCAAGCTCCATTACAACTTCTTACACTCTTTTCTTCAACAATCTCACTCAAATCTCATCCTTATCCATGAAAACCACATAATCTGCAAATTTCAAAGTAGAAATCCTTCTCTTCCTTAAGGTAACACCCCTTCTCCCTTTCCTTTTTCTCTCTCTCAGACAAATCATCATTACTAAATTAAACAACTTTAGAGTCAAAAAGGATTCCTGACAAAATCCTACGCCTAGCCAAAACACCTTTAAATTTTTCCCCATCTTTGACCTTTTCTCTCGTAGCAAAAAATTCCTTTATTTCCATTACTAAAGAAACTTTTAGATATCAATTTCTATAAAAATTAGACAAAATCTTTTTTAATACATATTTTATACTTTTGATTGTGAGTACTGCAAAGTTGCAAAATTTTATCCAAACTGATTAATTACTTTCAATTGTAATTCTCAAATTAATTATTTTAATTTAAACTAAAGAAAGACAATTTGATAATAAATTAATAATTTTACGATTATGCATTTTAATTTAAAAATTAATTTTATATTTCAATTTTATTCATCTAAAATAAAACAGCTTTCCTTAAAAAAAAAGTGCAGGGAAAAATGTGTAAATAAAAACAACAATAATTTCCGAGGTGGATGTGGTATTTAATCATAAATCAATAAAATTAATTAAATAAATAAATTAAAAATTTTATACACATATTTATACGTGTATATATATGTACATATATACATATATATTTGTATAATATATGTATATATTTACATAATATAATATATTTATATATTATAAAACATAAATAAGATCCCGAGATTGCTGAAACACAGCACGCGCATCCCGTTAATATCGCATCGATAGATTACTCCAAAGACTCGCTTTTTTTTGTATATTAACCAGTCGTGCATTTAAAAAATAAACAAAACGCGACTATCGTTTTTGAACCAAAACATCGCGTCATCGACGGTATTTAAATTTTATCAGTCTATGCTCGTTCTTCGGAGAAATCTTACTAGTATTTATGAAATTTTTTCCGTTTAACTAATCAAATATATATATACTTTTCATACTTATATTTTAAACCTCTTTTTCATTTAATCTCTAACACGTGATAGGCTATTTTTACATGATTAACTTTTTTCCCAAAAAGTCCCAATCATTAAAAAAAAATATTACTTTTGATATTAATATATAAATATAAAATTATTGTGCTCTTAACTTGCTGTTTGAACGACATCTCAGACAAGCAAAGTTATATAGTGATAAATCATTTGAGATTGAAAGCAATCGAGAAGACTAGTATTAATGAAGGCATTTCAGTTTATGATACTTTCACATTATTTTTATAAGAAACAAATAATTAAATTCTGAAATTGTAAATTTTGAATATTTTACTGATTATTTATTTATTCACAAAAATCACTAATTGCTTTTGATACTTAAAACTCAGCAGATAGTTTATAAAAAATTGAGAATTTTAAAAGTTAGTGTTTAAAGTAATGTATAATTATTTCTTTATTAAAATTTTATATGTGAAGTGTAAAGCATGAAAAATGTTACAACGCCTTAAAAATTAATACCTGATTGTAGTGATATAAAAAATTGAAAACTAGTACAGTGATGATGATGAAAACTAACAAATACTAACTGAAAGCCTTCAATGTGATATAATGATTGCATGATAAATGCAGCAATGACTGCATGACTATTTATTGTTTTCTCTTAGCAAACTTCATTACAAAAATAGAAAGTCTAAATAAATTAAATTGAAAAAATCATTATTTTAAGAACATTACAAAAGTCTTTAATTTTCAACTGCAAATGCAAATTAAAATAAAAAAAACGTTATTATTACTTAAAAACATTAATACTTGTTCATTATTTTAAAAATAGTGAAAAAACTTTATTACTTTTCTTTTTTTTTTGGCTATTCCTATAAATAGACTCAAAGTATCAGATACATGAAGAACTTTTTCGTTTGACTAGTTTCACAAGAAAGAAAATTATAAAACGATCATTTTGCCTGATTTTGAGTCTAAATTTCGAAGGATTGAGACTGGGAATTCTTTGGCATTACTTTCTGTAGAAACGATATTATTTAAGAACGAGGTTCTTGGCATACGCACGAAATATTAAACTTGCTAAAACACCCATTCGTAGGGTATTGACTCTATAAAATCTATTTATTTTTGAGCACTACCATCGATTGTAATATCGCAACATTAAAATGACAATTGTTAATGTATAATTACATTGAGACATTTAATATTGAAACTTTATAATAATAACACTGGCCGACAAGATTTACTTTCCAAGAATTAGACAACTTTTCAGAAGGTTTTCGACCTTAATATGCAAAAAACCCGCTTTTTAACAGCATTTGAGGTCATGCAACATCAAGAGATAATTTTTTTCCCAAAAGATCAATATTGTATCTGAAAGTACTATTCGATAATTTCAAAATTATAATTATTTTCAAAATTCCAAATGGCCGATTCAATATGGCGGACGATTTTTTTTAAATGAAAAGTATTGTCTGATTCTTGGAAAGTAAATCGAATCAAATTTTGTTGGCCTGTGTTATTATTCACATTTTTTAGTGATAAAAGAAGTTAAAAAGTGATTAATAGAGTACCAAGAATAGTAAACAAACAAATTTAGACATTTGTAATTTCTGTTATATTACTTACAGTCAATAAGTGCTAGGTTGATAAGGTAAATTACTACCTTACCATATGTGGTAATGTATATAATTTTACCGATTGGATGACTTCAACATCCTTCCAATATATATGCACCTTGTAAAATAGAGATCTACTTTACCGATCAAACAGTTACCGATAGTAAGTAACATAGCAGAAATCATAACCTATCCCAATATGCTTAAATTAATTTTCTTAATAAGTCTCCTGAGTATGCAAATTAATATAGTGGAAACCAAATATTAATCAACGGTTTTAGAAGAAAAATTTAGTTAGTATCAATTTAAAAACAATTGTAATATTCATTTGTTTTGATTCTGGTATTATAAACAAGTTTATGCGACTCTAACAACCCAAAAAGTTTCAATAATCAAAGCTCAAGTATTTATTGAAAATATTGAATTTGTAAAAAATAAGCTTAAAATTTAGTTACATAAATTTCGGGCAGAGACTCTAAATTATCACTAACGATGAGTAACAATTTTTCATCGTTAGGTACTTAAAATTTAGGTTTTGAATTATAAATAAAATAAATAGTAAAAATTTTTACGTTTTTAAAACAATTAATTATCAAATTTTTTGGTACTAAAAGAAGTTAAAAAGTTCCTTATAGTTACAAATACAATTAATAGTACCAGGAATAGCAAATAAAAAAAACAAAAAATAAACTAAAATTTAAGTCTATGGAAATAACTATAGACTTATAAAAAATAAATTTTCAAATTGACATAGTAGACAAATATTTTTCTTATTTTTTTACAAAATAATATTTTTTTCAAAAACTGTGTCAATGTTGTGCGTTTTGAGACATTTCAAAAGTACTCAGTAAAGAAAAGAGTTAAAAATTGAGGAAATACCATTTTTCGCGTCCTATTTCTGTTTCAAATAAAAAAAATGTACAATGGAGAAGACTCCTTATACAGTAGAAGATGATATTTCCTAATAAGAGGTAAACTCGGTTCGTTCTGCTACGTAATGGTACGTTACATATAAAGCCCAAGAATGACCTTTCATTATTTATACTGTTAATGCCCAATATGCATATTACGAATATGGCAGCACCAATAAAATTGCGCAGTTTCATTTATTGGTTATTAATGGCGCTTATAATCGGTTCATACGAAGACGATATCGTAAGTTCCCTATATAGGAGCACTACAAGTAATAATTTACTTATTGGGCTCCGCGATACTGTCGCTAGCAGTAGTATGAGGTTGAGAGACCTAGTTTACACGAAAATGGTGCTCTATGGCGATTGTACACACTTCCAGTACTGATGACATCTTTCGTCTCACACCGTAGACCTGTGAAGCCTTCCGCACACCTGAAACAACAAGATTAGTTTGACTATTAATATTGTAACTTTTCAAAAAATGAAACTTTATTATATCATATAATAATTTAATTGCAGAATAAATTTAAGAATATTTAATCAATTATTCATCTTAAAAAAAACTATTGAGTTTTCAAAAAATTAAAAACGTCGATTTCGTCTTTTCTTATAATCGACAATTATACATTATAGCAGGGGAGCCCATGATGCTAAATGGGAATTTACTCAAGCGTCGTCGGGTCGATGATATTTTGTAGTTTAGATAATAAGGAAAATGTTACGTCCGACAACGCAACATAGTTAGTAAATTTTAATTTATTTTTGAGTCTAGACTCATTGTCCACAACTTAGGAATCATTCAAATTGGTTTGTTTTATTTAAAGGTGAATTTAAAAGGATTGAAAAGATCGTAATGCACTAAATACAATGTAATCTTTTCTCAAGGTATTTAATAAAAAAAATAATGATCAAATCTTTTTAAGGATTGAGGGAACTAAAATGCGCAACTTAATCGAACTACGTCCTTCGGAAGTAGAAGTATGACAAAAAAAACAGATGAGAGGAGAAAAGTAATTTAATATACAATAAAAGTACTTACTTTTTTTCTTTTTTATTTATAATAGCTGAATATTGTTGAAAACTCGTTTAAATTTGGATCTTAGATGATTGGCTTCGTATTTATTGAAGATGATGAATTAGAATGATCAAAAATTTGACTCGTCACTTAAGAAATTTAACAATATAAAATTCAACTTGAGAATTAAAACAAAAAGTTAAAATTTAGAGACTTGGAAGAAAATTGTAAGAAACTGAGAGATTTGAAAAATTTAGAGAACTTAGAAATTTGAAAAGAACTTGGAGAAATGACTTTTTAATTAAAATCTTTAGTTTTTATATTGTTATACCTACTTAATTTTTTTAGTTGGGTGGAAATTTGGGGAAGAATATTTTTTAGAGTGGGAAGTTAAAAAGATGAATGATTGGATTTTTTATGAAACAAAATAGAAGAACTTATCTAAAAGAAAGATGTCATTGAGTCTTTCAGGCCCAGCCTTTGCTAGGGATGACTTTGCGTGGGCGTATCTTTAATATTAGGGTGTCTTGGAAAAGTGGGGAACTATAGTTTACACTATTTATAATAGATGGAGCCAAGATTCACTTTTTAAACGAATTTTCAAAATTACAAAAATTAATAAAATTATTTATAAAATACATGATTTTATGATTATTTAATTACATAATATTGAAAATTTACGCATTTAATTACACACACATACTTTTTTTATATATATATACATATGAGGCAAAATTCCTGAAATGTCCTAACAAAAAATTAAAAGTTCTCGAATTTAATCCATACTTTTCTAAAATGTTGTTATTGTTGGTGAAAGTCTAAAAATCAATTATTATTGAATTTAATAAAATAGTTTTTGAATTACAACGTTTTTAATTTTTGACTTTTGAAAAAAAAAATTTTTTCAATGTACAATATTTATAAGTAGAATGCATAAAAGTTAACATATGCCAACATATGCCAACTTTCCCAGCGGCTTGACAGAAGAGGGAGGAGGTCTAATTTCTCCACCTTCCTCTTCTGCTTGATCTTTTCCGAGCATTAAGACATCCCCCGGTCAACCCGGGTTTTCCGTCAAAAGGAGGGAGTGTCTAGAGATGAAGTGAAAATAAATAAAAGGATGAGGCGATAAATAAGCTGAAATGGAATAAAGTTTAGGGCAAGGTGGAACGGAAGAAGAAGGAATTAAATATGGAGAAGAAAAAGGAAGGAAGGAAATGTGGGAAATTATAAATAAAGTATGGAGAAGAGATGGATGGCCGGAGGAATGGAAAACAGGAATAATAGTGTCTCTGGTGAAAAAGAGGAAGGTGATAGAAGAGTACAAAAAATAACCCTAATGTCGAAGAGCGAGAAAGTGTACGCTGAGGTACTCAGAGGGAGGTTGGAGAAGGATGTAGAAAGTAAGTTAACTATTATAATAGATATAATAATGAAGGAATATTCTGGAGAGCGCTGAAAGAAAGGAAAAAAGACCATAATAGTGGAAAGAGTTAAGGAAGTGTACAAGGAAATGAGAGTAAAGGTTAGGATAGGAGAGAAAATGGGTGAAGAGTTTTTGTTGGGCAGAGGACTAATGCAGGGGTGTCCACTGAGTCCTACGCTGTTTAGTCTGCTAATGGCATACCAAGAGGAAAAATTAAAGCGAAGAAAAAAGGGAGGTAATATTAGGAACTGGATGAATATACTCATTAGCTTATGCAGATAATGTAGTGTTGATGACAGAAAATGAAGCAGGAATAGGATCGTTGATTAAGGGATTGCGATTGGAAGAGTATGTATGGGAAAAGGATTTGTGGATAAATGTGGAGAAAACTAAGATTATGAGATTTGTGAACAAGATAAATGGAAAGAAAAATGTTTGAAATGTAAATGGAAGAGTGGTAGAAGAAATGGATGAGTTTTGTTACTTGGGTTTTTGGTTTAACTTTAATGGAGGACATGAGCAGAATGTGAATAGCAGAGTGTAAAGTGCGAGTAAGATATAATGGTACAAGTGTGGGGGATTAGAAAAAGAATGTTTAAAAATGACTGGAATAAGAGATTGTGGTTGTTTGATATGATAGTGTGATCTGTATTGAGTTATGGAGTAAAAGTATGAGGCTGGATAGAAATAGAAAAAATGGAAAGAGAAATTTTTGCGTTGGGTTGTGGGTGTAAGTATAAATCCTTCCGGATATATTTTGAGAGAGAAGGTAGGAAGGTAGAAAATGAGGATAAGACACAGAAGCAGGGCTTGGAGTTTTGAAAAAAAAATTGAGACAGGGTAGAGGATACAGCCTGACACAAATGTGTTGCAAGAAGGTTAATGAAAGAGAGGTGAAAGGAAAGAAGGAACTGTCGAAATGGGAAATTAAAAGGATAGAGTCGATTAAAGAAGGTTTGAAGGAGGAAAAAATATGGACATAGGAAAGAGAAGGGTGGGAGGAAAAGGACAGAGAAGAGAGATGGGAAAGAATAATATACTCAAAATACAACAGATGGTATAGGATGGTAAAAGGAAGAGACATATTGCAATATCTGGAGAGTTCAAAACAAGGAAGAGAAATGGAACAGAGTGGTCAGGATTAGAGTAGGAGAAGGAATGAGTGAATCTAGATATCGGATGAGTGAAGAAGAGAGAATGTGTAGGGAGTGTGGTTAAGAGAAAGGAGTAGATGAAAGGATAGGATGGATTTTGAATGAGAGTGGGCAAGATGTGAAATAGATGCATGAAATAGAACAAATGAGAAAAAATGAGGGGAATAATTAAGTTAAATTTAAAGAGGCTGGGTTCGAATTAATATTAATTTTGATGAAGTTAAAATAGACAGGAAAACGGAATCATGGCTCTGTCAGATAATAGAATAAGTAGTTTAAGAAATTGTATTAGGTTAAGATAGAATAAGAATTTGTAAAATAGATTTAGATATTTTGTAATATGGTTCCTCAAACCCTGCAATTTTTAGAGAGAGTAAATATATATACTTTACTCGAATTTTATTTTTGCTGCATTCACACCTTTTTAGTCAACTAAACTCTAAATTTATAAACTATAAATGTAAACCTCATATTTAAATTTCCAATTTTCGAATACACCAACCTATATTTCGCGGCATTTACATTGTTATCCTATAAAGTCTGTGGCGTGTTCTGTCAAGTGGATCAGGAATGTGCAGAAAATTCATTATAATTAATAATTAAATTTAGAAGTCACAAAAAAAATAATTAATATTTTAAATTCCACTCCAAACACCGAATGAGTGGCAAAATGTTGAAAAACTAAATATATTATTATGATTTTAAGAATTAAATAATTTATATTCTTAAAAATTTGATTTGCAGAATAAATAAAATTTTCACAACATGTCATAATAAAATAATTATATACAAAAACATGATAGTTAAGTGAAAAAAATTCCTGTGATAGCGATCCTTGGAAATTCTGGTTAATATTTAAATATAAATATTTGTTATTTTAATTTAACGTAGAAAATCAAATTTAACGTAATTCATAAACACTTTTCACCACAATTTATTTAAACAATCACATTTTTATTTAGGGAATTTATCCTCCTTTGTGAAATATGTATACCATCAATAGAATATGTGAATTTTCTAGGTATATTCAGTGCTAGAGGATATCCTACATACACTTATATTCGTAATAATTTGAATTTCATTGAAAATATTAAAAATGTTACTATTGACCAAAGTAGCAATTTTCTCAATCACAGAAGTTAATTCATGAAAATTAAGTTCCTTAGTAATTTACATAGTAAATGTATATTAAAATATATCTTTTACCGATTTATTAATAAAGAAGAAACTTAAAAAATAATTGATTGGATTGAAATGTATTTTGAATTTAATTTCTGTATTGTTGAAATCAGTAATCGTAATTACAAACAGAGTAATGGTAGGAGAAATGGAATTAATCGAAGAAGGGTCGTGATTATTCCGTGAATGGCTTTGCAACAATTCGTCGAGAACAATTTAAATTTATCACTGCCAATTCCATTAGAATTAATCAGTTGGGCGTTAAATTAATTAAATAATAGATAAGCGCTTTACAGTGCGAATAATTTGCTGCAAGTTGTGGGCGATACAATTATAAATCTGACATGCGTTAGCATTCTGTATATAATCGATCATATGATTAATAAACCATTACCTGTAGGATAAAATAAGAAAAAACAAATAAAACTATTTGGATAAATAACAAAAATATTTTTTATTTTATGGATTTTTCTTTTATCAATAGAAAATATGTTTATTTAACAATAAAGATTTTTATTTTAACAAATTTTTTTTGCTATTACTTTAATATATGTTTGTGTCAATTTTCATTAGTAAGCAGTTTCTATTGATTTTGCAACCTTCGCAAGTTACGAAATCAGACCAGTGTTCTTGTAAAAACTCCCATTAAACCCTTTCA